CTGGACCCTGTCCCGTCCCACACCCCTGCACGTCGGTCGACGGGACTTGGCCTGTTGGACATGGGGGTGGGATGCATGGGCTTAATTCGAATTCATATCGATGTTTTCCTCTGTCCAGAATCCAGATATTCCTCGACTTTCTTCTTTGCGCATCTTACCTACCACGGAGGACCTAACTCGAACGACGTGAATAGGATTGCACAAGCGAGAGCGGGAACTTTCATACCGAGCGTCGTGTACAGACCAAGTAACCCAACCTTATTTTCCCGGAAATCCAGGAGACTGGTGAGTCGTCGACTTTGCCTTTCCTTTTCCAACTCTGAGCGCAGTTGGTGGATCCGGGATCGCTGTATCAGCCTCCCATTATCGGACACGCCAAACTCGACCATCTCTTTTGAGCTTGAGAATGACAGGACCTCTTGGCGAACACTCCTGGTTCATTTGCACATGTTCTCAATCCAGATACAGTACGGATCTCTGACGACGACGGGATGGAGGGCAGGCGAGTTCAGTTCTCATGCAGTGCGAGGGCGGTAGTGCACCCACCCGTAGTACTACATGCCCCGCCATGATCCATCCCTCAGCGTCCCGTCGTCTGAAATACTGTCGTAGAATCGACCGTCAACGCGTCTCTCATCAATACCGGCATCCATGGCTGTCTGTCTCAGCTCATTTACACTCCAACCCTGGAAAGGTGGGGGCGGTGGCGCCAAGCCTGAAGCAGCCCTGGCTCCCTTTTAGCCATGGTCTCACACCAGTGGATATCAAGACATCTGGCCAGATGACGATTCTTTTTTTGGGCCATGACAACTCACCCTCTCCATCTATCGCCAGTCACACGGCGTCGTTTGGTCAAGTGGCAGCTCATATATCGAATCCCTATGCGCATCACTGCACTCGATGCCCTGTTTCCTGCAGTTGGCGCCGATATACATGCGAAGCCGCAAAAATATTTCATGATCAGAGCTCCAGCCTCTGGGACGCGGAAGTCGGGAATCGGAAGCGAGGGGAGACTTGATGTTCCATTTCATGCAAGTGCACTCGACATACCGTATTTAGCTCCTTGTCCCGTCACATCTCATCGGGCTGGGCTGGCCTAAAGGCGTCGGTTCGCTATCGACTCCGTCCGGTCGGGCCGTCGATAGTTGGCTGGTGTGTGTGCAGGACGGCGATCTGGGTAGCTACATAACCTCAACACCCTCTTTTCCTTCTAGCCGCCCCGCTGGACGAAAGGAATGTCTCCGGCTTCTGTCTAGGTAGTTGCGCACCATCAAGGTGCCAAGGTGAGGCACCCTCAGCTTTGAGCCCGTACATGTTCTTCCCAAGTTTCTGGCTTTGGGTACGGCATCTTCCACCGATTGATGAGCAAGGGGAAGCTAGTGTAGAAGGCTTTCTCAAAAGCAACCACATCCGCGATATCCCGGCGTCTCTGGCTTGGCGGGACATGATCGTCGCAGGCAATTGTGACAAATCCCATCTTCGTTCGAGAAGCTCGAGATCCCCAACATCGAAGCCGCTTTGGCCGCGATCCACGCCCAGCATTGAGCCTCAACCAAAGCGCGGACCTTGCACCGGCGAGGAACATCAGAAAGGGATACTCACCATTCAAACATCCGGCTCGCTTTACGACGAGAGTAACCCATACCATATCCCCCACAAACGAGCAGAGTCAATGCGTAGGTCCTGGCGTTCGATGTGTCAAATTCGGGATGTGGGCTGATATGACTGTCAAGTCGTCGCCATGGTGAAATCAAGGTGACTGAAAGCCGTAAAACCCAACAGACCCCAAGTTGGACAACCCTGCGGCTTCGAGGAAGAAGGTCAACCTCGGGACCAGGTTTGGCCAACGTAGATCTCATGCACATTTCCGTTTCCACTTCGGAGATCCGAGGACAAGACAGGCTCGTCCATTGCTGTCCAATTGATGACAGACGTCTACTTATTATCGAAATGTCGACCGGCCCGTGAACGGGAATCCAAAAACAGCGGGCTCGATGGTCTTCCTCGCGATGCGGGGTGCCTCCTGATGGTGATAGAGGGGCAGAGGTCTCTGCTGACTGCAATGACCCTGGCCAGCCGCTTTCCCAGGTTCTCCATCAAGTGCAGAGCTCTTATCGATAACCACTCAAACCCTGGTCAATCCTTATCACGATGTGACTTTCCTGCTTTAAGAGGTAGTGTACTTGCGAATCCGTACCTACGGATAGCCTAGGCTCGTACCCACGTCTCGCGCGTCCCGTTGTCCAATATTTGCCCCATCAGTCTCATTTCCCCTTTTCGTCTCCTTTTTTGCCCTCGCCCTGTTTGTGATATTCCGTCAAGAGTTGCGCATCTCTGTGTCTGTCCATTCCTTTTTGTTTTCATTTCCAAAGTATCAACTTGTTGCTGTGGCGCTGCATCACCCGACAAATCCTTCCGAGAAAGAAACAACACGCCCAGCAAGTGCATTACCGAACCGTTACATTCCCTGCAGCAGTTGCCCAAACGAAAAAGTCCACCCGGGACGCTCGGATTATCGTCATCGAAAAATCTCAAGCCTCATTACCAAGTTCGATCCACCCCGGTTCGGCACCAGAGTCGGACATATCACACGACCTCGACTTTTGGAACCGTCCGACACATCAACCCCCTTCACGATTGTTAATAGTCCTGTCAACCTCCCGAGCTTTCGCGCATGATCGACGATAGGCGACTGTGACATCAAAGACTAAACACAACGACGATAAGATGGCTGGAGCGAGAACCAGAAAGCAGGCCGCCCTGGCTGCTGCCGAGGGCCAGAAGGAGCAGGACATCGCGCCGGCCGGCAATGGCAACGCGCATGTAGTGTCAGAGAAAGACGCAGGCGTACAAGAAGAGACAGAAAACATATTCCTTTTTGTGCCAAACTTGATCGGTACGTGCTCCTATTCGCAATCCGGCTATGCCTTCTTGCTGTCTTGATGCGCGAGGGTGACAAGGTCGCGGGATGCTGACACTGCTGGATGATTCATAGGGTACGCCCGAGTAGTGCTGGCCATTGCCAGTCTTTATTACATGCCGCTGCACCCGAGGACGTGCTCTGGCCTTTATAGTGTATCGTGTTTACTGGATGCGTTAGATGGAATGGCCGCGAGGCGACTGGAGCAGTCGACCCGGTTCGGTGCTGTGGGTGACCCCTTGCGGTCCCATGCTCTTTTATCATGGAGCTGTCTTCTGACATTGAACCAAAACACCAGGTCCTCGATATGGTTACCGATCGTTGCAGCACGACATGTTTGCTTGTTTTCCTGTCCACGGCGTTTCCTCGCTGGATCATCGTCTTCCAGCTCCTCATCTCGCTTGACTTGACCTCCCACTACGTCCACATGTACGCTACTCTGGCCATGGGAGGTTCCGACACGAGCCACAAGAATGTCGACAAGAGCCGCAGCAAGCTCCTGAATCTCTACTATACGAACAGAGTGAGTATTTGTTGTTCTCTGTAGTGAGGAAGTCTTGGTTCGCTGACTCGAGTTATTACTCTGGCAGAATGTCTTGTTCGCAGCTTGCCTTTTCAACGAGCTCTTCTTCATCGCGCTCTATCTCTTGAGCTTCTCGTCGCCGTTGCTCTCGCCAGCACTTCTCCAGCCCCTGAACGACAAGGCCGCCGCCGCCGCCATCCACCAAGGCGCCCAGGTGAACTCGTCCATCCTGCGGCAGCTCTTTATTAACCCTCACAGCGCGGCTGCGCTTGAGATGGCGCGCGTGAATAAGATGGACAGCTTCGTGCCCTGGGTGCTTGTCATCGTCAGCTTCCCTGTTATGGCTATCAAGCAGTTCATCAACGTCGTCCAGCTCGTCAAGGCGAGCAAGTGGTTGGCCGAGGGCGACATTCGGGATCGGAGAGCCAAGGGTCTTCCCCGGAAGAAGACACAGTAAAGGCGACGTGGAAATCGACGAAATGCCGTCGGGACTTTACTTATTTCGACAACTCCGGTTCTTACTAGTGTCCGGCTGTTGGGGATTCCCCTTTTTTACCCTTGTGTTGGTTATGCGCATATTTAATCCTTCAAAAGCACATACTTTGGAATTAGATCTCTTTGGAGATTACCTGACGAGCGAAGACCCCAGCAGCAGATTGGGGACAAAGGGAAGACTTTGTGATAAACTGCTCGACATAAACTCTGCATCATTGGACCCCTAGGGAGGGCTTCAACTGGCGTTTTGGCTGAGGGACGACGGGGCAGGAAGAGAGCTATAACGGGGAGAGCCGGTTGGGATGGACACTGGATTAACGTCTCTCTCCTTCTCTACACGATTACGGCCCAGGTGGGCGGGCAGTCCTTGGGCATGGGCTCGGGCGGTCGGGCATTGCGATGGCGTGGTGTGGTGCGGCAATTCCATGCTTTTTTTCCCTTCTTTCGTTTCAAAGAGTCACCATGCCCTTTTTCTTTTTTTCCCCTTATCATGGGCATTGGATATATCCTTACCCAGCACACATACTCATTGGGTCACTTTCTGTTCTTAACTTACATACAATTCCTAATCAGCGCCGTACTCCGTCGTGTTCTTTTTCTCCTTGTGTCTTACTACCCTCTATCTTGACTCCGAGGCCGCTTCTTTCTGCCTTGTTCTTGACTACCGAGAATGGACCTGCAGTTCGTGTCTTCTTTCTTGTATATACCTACCTCCATATAGTTCATTCTCCCACTTTTGTTCAAACAGGACCAAGAATATCCAACTATTGAGATCTCAAACGTATCTACCCTACCCATTTACGTCAGGGTTCTTGCCGGCTGTCCACGAATGCACATGTGCTCCTTCTTGGTTCATTCCTTTCCCGGCGTTAACCACCACCACCGCCGCCGCCCAGACAAACCTTAAACCACCCTCATCCGCAACAAATCTGTTCATAAGCGGAAAGAGCATACATAGTATCCACAGATGGACGACAACTTAAGTAAGCCACCTGAGGTTTGATTCAAACTGAAGGTATAAAACAAAGCAGACGAAGGAAAGAAACAACCAGGACAAAAGAAGCCCGCATGGCTCAGGGGTAGAGCGCATCACTAGTAGTACTAGGCTATATTCACAGTCTGCTAGACTGTTGGGTCTAGCTTGGTAGACATGATGAGGTCATCAGTTCGATTCTGATTGTGGGCATTTTTATTTATTCATATAGCTTAATATTTTTTTTTTCTTCTTTCACTTTTTTGCTCGAGTTCTCTCTCTTCTTTCTCATATCTAAAGTACATAAACTACAACTAACCTTTTTTATATCTTTGTTTACTCAAATGTGAGATGTGCGTCTGGTCAATCGATTGGCCGTGTATGAAGAAAGGTAGCTCAGCAGAGCTCGAGGAGGAGGATATTTAAGGAACACTTTGGAAATCTCTGATTTTCAGACTAGGTGTGTATATGTATATGTATGTATGTTATTTACTGACTGACGCCTGTCTGACTGTAGAAGAATTCTAGGTGAGGATGGTCAGTAACGCTGTTTGCAGGGAGATTCACGATATTGAAAAATGTCTATCCGGTGGCGGTAAGCTTACCGAGAACCGAGCAAGATGTCGTGAGGCGTACGTATGAGCAAGCCATGCACGGAAGAAACAACAAGAAGCATATAACGCCCGTATAGCTCAGCGGTAGAGCGCATCACTCGTATCATTATCTACCCGGGTTTGAGTCCATCTAAACCAGGGGAGATATTGATTGCTTATGATGAGGCCACTAGTTCGATCCTGGTTATGGGTATGTATGTATGGGTAGTTTCAACGACATGATATTCAACTTCATCGCTTATAAATATGGCTGGCTTTCTGTTCTGGCTATAATGGCTGCTCTTGTTTGCCTTGACTACAGACAGACAGGAACAGTTGAGGGACCATCTCGGTAAAAACTGAAGAATGGCTACCTTATGTTGCTGCTACGGTCTAGGCAAGTAAGAAGATCCATTCAACAAGAACAGGAAGCTCGCCATGTTGCTGAGTGATGTTGGGATGTGATGCGATGAGGCTACATCATATTTTTCATTTCATTTTTTCCTCCTCCTTAGAGGAGTATACTCGAGTATTTATTTAGAGACTTATTTGTATGCTTGCTGCCTATCCGTAATGCGATTAGAATCACAACCCTTGCGACATGATGTTTCCCCTAGTCTATTCTCTACTCATTTTTTGAGTCCTGAAAATCCATGTCCCATCCCTTCTAAAATCTTCATCTTCATTTAAATCTCTGTCCTACCGCACCCTGGCGTGGGCAAGCTGCTCTCATCGTTCTGGAGCGAAGATGGATGACGCCTCCCGGAACAACTTTATTAGGTAACCTTGCTTCTTAACCTCCGCGAGGGAAACAGCCCCATCGGGGCACAGAGTAATGCTTACTTTACCACTTCACTTCCCGATGTAATGATGCAACTCTTTTGCCCACATACATGCAGACCTGTATTTCTACTTTCCTTTTTGATAGTGCTCCTCCACGTTCTCGAACTCCAAATATCGTTCCTGGAAGCACTACTCTCTCAAGACGGCGAGATGCTGAGATAAGTTGACACCGCCCTCAAGATGGGTCACTTACAACCGAGAAGCTTCAAAGAGTTCCAACGAGTCACAAAATACTTCCATTCCTCTGTGGATACTGATTGCGGCACAGAGAGACCGAGGCACCTCAACGTCGATATGAACCACATGCACTCACGAGCCGGGACCTTCCCAAGGACTATCGGCTTCCAATAGAGCGTTTTATTTTGGTCTGACCGCTCGAACCATCACAGAAGATTCACAGATGTACGCAGAGATGGCTGGCTGCTGATTCTCTATATAGCACAAACATGATAAAACCCCAACCCGGATCGAGTTAACATCCAACTCCCCAAATACAAGGCACGCAACAAGCTACCAAACCAACCCCCACCCACCACCCACGCAGGCATGGTATCATCAAACTCAACATGATGCTTCATTACCTAACTCAATAGTCGCAGCTTTGCCCAGATCTTCAGCGAAAGGTCCATAAACACGATTTCTCCCTCCAGACGTCTGTCCCAATTCGCTTGTTTTCCTTTCCTTTGCTCATCATGTCATCACAGAACTCTAACGGACGATTTCCAGCTAAACAACCCAAGTTCGACCTTTCCATGACCGAGAAAAGCGACAGTCTTAATACCGTCCCCCACCCCAACCGCCCTGTTGATGTCCCCCATACCCTCCTTGTCCGCCATGCGGATGCGCCCCGTGTCCCTGCTGGCCCGGATATCCTCCCGGTGCTTGATACCCACCACCACCATCACCACCACCATACTGCTGCGGCGGCGGTGGTCCACCCTGCCAATAACCACCCGGAGAAGGCTGTTGCTGCGGCGGCGGCGGCTGAGGCGCCCCATACCCTCCATATCCCGGGTTCGGGCTCGGGTTGCCATATTGCTGCTGTCCATACCCTCCTCCGCCTTGATAAGATGGCGCAGGCGCGCTATACCCTCCTCCTCCGTACGGACTATGACTAGGCTGCGGCGCACCGCCATACCCCCCTGAAGGCGCGGAACTAGTCATGGCAGCAAAATCCCGATTTTTGTTCAACTGACCCCACAAACTCCCACTAGGTCGTCCATGTCCACCATCATGACATCCACCGCCTGCGCTTCCACCGGGGCCTCTTGTGCCGCTGCTCCCGCCGTTGGGAAGGATATGATTCTTGTGGTTCTTGACCGAGTCGGAGGACAGCAAATGGTTGAGCTGATTACGATGGGGTGTTTCCTGCGTCCATTTGCGGACAGTCTCAAACATGTCGCGCTGGATCTGGATGTTGTCGTCTCTGATGGCGGGATGGTGGAAGGCCCGGAGGACGTCGTTTACCACCTCGTCGACGGGGACGCCGGGGTTTTCCCAGGCGTAGACGACACGGCTACTCTACAGTTAGCAAAACTTATTGGGGGTTAAGGGAAGAAACAAACTCACGGAACGACATATTGCAGAATAGTAGCAGCAACCCGTCCAGCACAGGAATTCAACACATTGGTAAAGTGATCCTTGGACAGCATCGAATGAGTCGGGTTGTCACATCTCGGATTCGTCCACGGCTCAAGCTGCTGGTTCGCGCTAGAATTAATCAGCCCCGAGGAGCCATCCTTTAGCACCTTGGACACCTGATTAATAATCGGCTGGATAAACGGCGCAAGGAGACCCAAGATGAAGACTGTCAATGTCTCGCTGATATGGTCGAGTAAACTCTCTAATCCCGGGATTTTGGAAACCATGTTGCTGATTGCGCGGACGATCTTGTCGCGGAACTCGAGAATTGGGTAGATTTGCTTGGCTACTTTCACAGGGTCGAAGTTGGGGGACATGCCGGGGACAAGGTTTTGGTTATCGCCCGCTGCTCGGGTGTGGGTGTTTTCTTGTTTTTGGCGGTCGGATGCTTCCTTCAGGTCTCTAGCCTGGGATGCGAAGCCGCCGCCTATTCCTGGGAGTCTGCTGACACTGGAAATGAAGTCGTCGCCTCCGCCGCTACTGCCACCGCCGGAGGAGGAGCTGCCACCGCCGCCGAGGCTACCCAGTTTATTTCCTAGATCTCCGAGGTTGAATTTTGATCCGCCGATTTTGATATCGGGCAGGTCGATTCCGAAGAGTCCGCGGGAGGATTCTTCGTTTGCGCGGGTGCTGCCGCCACCACCACCACCGACAAGACCGGTTGATTTGGTCAGACCCTCGGCGCTCTTGAGGGCAGTGTTCATCTCGTCGATTTCAGACTGGGTAAAGTGATCGGTTGCTTCTCCCAGGACAGAGTGCAAAAAGTCAATGGCGCCAAAGGTACCCGTCACAAGAGGCCAGACACGCTTCCCACGAAGGTGGATCTGGGTATCCCGGCCACAGTGCGCAAAGACATCGCGGTATCCGAGCTCGATCAGCGCAAGCTCGCAGTAATTGCTGTGAGCGGAGAAGTCCTCCATTGTGTGGAGAGCTTGGCCTAGACAGCGGAGTGCCTCGCAGAGATCGGCTTCTTTGCCAGCTGAGCCGCCTGAGCCGTGGGTGTAGACACGACCATAGTGGATGCACCGGGCAAAGCTGTACCTGAGGTAGCCGGCGCTGGTGGCCCATCCGCCGCGCTCGTTGCTGATGTAGTTCTTCATGCCGGTCTGCGGGTCGATCTCGAGTTCCCGGGGATCAATGGGTCCACGCAGGCGGGGGTCATATTTGCGTGCGTCTTCACCGTCGGCGTATCCGAGCGGGTTGTCGATGTGCTCCTCGGGTCGGTAGACACCAAGTCTCTCCTCGGTGACTTCGAATTCCTCGGTGGCGTAGCCGTGTGCCATGAAGGAGAGGACCCAGACCTGTGTGGCTGTGTGTTAGTGGTCTGATGAGATGATGTGTCTTGCAAGTGCGAATCACTCACGAGAATTCTGATAGTAGCAGCATTCACGCCCTTCAAGCTACCGACGTCGACGGCCTGCGAGTAGTCTCTCAGCCAGTTGCCGAAATACGTGCGCGAGACGAGCATGCTGGTCCATTTCTTTCCGTGGATAAAGGCGAGCGTCTTGAGCATATCCTCGATATCTGGTGCGAAAGGTTAATGCGAATTCGTTGTGATGATTTGTATAATTCTAGCAAGATACTGACCTCCATGTCTCCAGTTATGGCCTTCGACTTGTGCGATCGAGGGAATGTTGCCGGCGCCAAAAGCAGCGGCTTTCCCTGGCATAACGACCAGCACCAGGGTGACGGCGAGCAGAATGCTGCCCCAGCCCATGCGTAAGCCAGCCATGTTGTGCGCGCGCAAAGTGTAAGTCCAGAAAGTGAGTCTCTTTGTCAGATTCGTAACGTCGCAGTTAATCTGGCGCAACGGTATTTTGTTGTGAACGCTTCAATAAGGTCGCTAGCAGAGTAAGGAGCAAGACTCTGGAGATGAAAAAGGAAAAAAATGACCACAATGGTTATCGTGTGAGCAGGTCGGTTCCAAGGCTGGGCGGCCTCTTGGGTTGGAGGGGAAAGAGAAAGACCAAGAAGATGAGTGAGCGTGGTGTGAAAGAGGAATCAAAGATGCGACCCGATGCGATGCGCTCTTGGGAGGCCCCGCAATCCTTTTTTGACGTCAGATTTCCCAGTTGGCGGGAGGACTCTTTGATCTAGTGGTTATGAGCTGATGATAGCTCCCGCTTCAGCTGAACGGCGGCAACAACGCTGACTGAGACTGTCAGGGAAAACAAAACGGTCACCAATTCTTGAGCATCTCAGCAATGACACATTGTTCAGAAAGATTTATATAAGAACCTATTTGATCATGAACTTTCAGAACTACAATGGCTGCCCAAGGAGCACGTGAAAATCTCGACTCATCTTTATCGATTCGTCTCCTCCTCACAAAGGAGGGGAACTTTTCAGCTCTGCCCCTCCATGCCACCATGCCGTACTGCCGAACCAAGGACTGCCCCGCCAGATTGACGACCGCCAAGAGGTGAGATGATTCCTTTGTTGGGCTGCCATGTCTTGCACCGGATGCACTGCAGCGGGCGGAATATAGGGCTTAAAGATGTAGGTGCGGTGATAAAAGCCCGACTGGAAGCCAATGGGAATTGGCCTGATATATTGATTGCCGGTAATGATGTGACATTCAATGTATTGAGACTCGGAAATCATGTACTGGTTTTTCACTCGATTTGTCGAGTCCAAAGTCCGACCAGTTCGATAATTGAACAACCCCGAGTCCTGTTCAAGTCAAAATGGATGCACAAGAACCTCCTTCCGACCTTCCTCCAGTCAGGG